AAAGCAGAATATTAAAGAATTTTGCTGAGATTAAAACCCTAGCCTTTGGGCTACAGGGTGTTGCTGTGGTTTGAGTGTGGTTCATCTCACCATAACTCACATGGAGGCTAAGCTCTCAATGCATTGGCATAGAAAGGAGTAGGGACCTTTAAGAGGTGGAGCCTACTGGGAGGTATTGAGGCATGACTGCCTTCATGAAGCCATTAATGCTGGTCTCCCCTTGGATCTCCCATGAGTAAATGAATTCCCTCAACAGTAGGTTTTACAAAAGAACAAGCCTGGCCCCTCCTTGCCCCTCACTTCCTCTCAGGCCATGTAAACCATCTCCAACATGCTCTCACCATGTTATGCCATTGGCCATGTTGTGACATAGCCAGAAGGCTCTAGGCAAAGGCAGACCATACAGGAAAACCCAATCTTGTCCTCTCAAACTCCAAAACTATGAATTAAATAAACCTCTTTGCTTTATAAAATATCCACCCTCAGGTTTTTTATTGTCTTACCACAAAAATGGGATAAGATATGTGTGGTGCTGAATATTTTATTATATAGGGTATTATAGTAAATCAACAGGTTTTCTTATAAAATAAATTGCTTTTTTCTTTATTGAGAGAAAAATCATAGTGAAATGAAGAGCTTAGTCTTTGAAATCAGATGGACATTGGGTTCAATCCCTGGATATGTTCTTTCATAGCTCTACACATTGAAAATATTATTTAACTTTCTTGACTTCTGTATATTCACTTGCAAAATGGAGATAATTATCATTTACAGAGTGGTTATGACAATTAAATTAACCTATCTGAATAGATTGAGACTTAAAATCTGACATCTTTTCTGGCTCTTTATTTAGCAGAAACATTGCAGACAACTAAAATCAGTGAGACTAGATATGTTCTTCAATAAATTCTGTTGGCTCAAAAATATAATCAATAGGAAATTCTTAAAAATATGCCATACCAAAATTTTCATATGGATTAAATTTTCAATATAGTTTTTAATGTACTAGAAGAAAAAACTAAGAATACATCAAGATAAAAACAAAAAATACGTATCAAAAGAAAAAAGTTAAAAAATTACCTGTAAGACAGAAAGTTATTCACAACAGTTAAAAGGAACAAAATGTTAATGTGTTCAATTTGTGAAGAGCTTTTCAAATAGAGAAGGAAACAGGAAACTCCAAAACTGATAATAGATAAAGTTCATGGATAAAGTGTATAAAGTAATTTATAAGAGGAAAAACGTAAATGATTGATCAACATATAAAAAGAGGCTCAGTCTCAACCTAAAACATGTAAATTTAAAAGAACTTGTTTTCTTTTTTAAGCTCACTGAAATATAAAACCATGAACATCAATTTTATAAAAAGTGGTAGAAAATACTCCTATTCTACAGTGTTTGGGACAACTGTGAACTGATCCAATAGTTTTGAAAGATGATACAGCAGTATATAAGAAAACTTTATTTACACAGAAATTCCACTGCTAAGATTTTAGCCTCAGGAAAGAATTACAAACTGTATAAGGTTTTATGAACTAGGATACACATTAAAGCAGGAGTAATAATATGAAAAATGGAAATAAGTTATATTAATATGACAGTGACTCAATAAATATTTTTATATATTGCTTTTTAAAAGAATAAAGAAGAGTTCTATGCACTGGCATGGAAGAGGCTTATAATATATTAAAATACATATATAACTGAATAGTATTTAAGCTTATTTGGTATGATCTCATTTTCACATGAAAATATACGTTTCATTATTGATAGCTATGTATGTTACATACTTATGCACCAAAATAAATGTCTTCCTTTTAGATGTTTTCATTGTTTTGTTTTCCAACAATGAGGAAGGTGCTATATTATCAAAGGAAAAAATAAAGATACTTCTATTTTAAAAGTCAATAATGAATTTAATTTTTCTCTTGCTTATATTGAGTTTAACTCTACATTACAAATAAGTTTAAGGCATAATATTCATAGGTTCAAATGTAATCTGGTTTTGAAAAGTTGATATAACATGTATCTTTACACTGTTTATTTTTTGGTTTTAAAATTTTGTGCTTAACTCTTTAAAGAAACTTCAAAATACTTGTATAAACCTCCTCTAAAACTTCTTTTACCTAGCATCATTTTGTTAGTACCAGAATCTCATAAGTGAAGGAGAAAGAAAATGTTCCCGCTTTTCATGTCCTGGGTTTCTCTCCATTTCAATCTCTTCAAGCCATAAAGCCTGCTTTGAAATTTTTGACTTGAAAGAATAAGCTTATTGAAGCCACTGTCACCCTTTGTAGAGGAGGTGAAGCTTTTATTGTCATTACCATCTTAAATCATGTTGAATTTCAGATGCTACTGTTATAAATGAGGAGTGCCTTTTAGGTTAGAAAAACGACACCCAAATTTAGATTGGAGTATTTTTGTTGGGAATGGGGTGGAGCACGGGCATATGTGGGTCTCTGCATATATGTGTATGGACTCTATATGTGGTTATGGAAATGCAGTCCATGTGTGTACACTTATCTGTGGTAGTGAATATATGTGTATGCTCATGTATACTTGTGTTTTTACAAATACAAAGAAAAAATAAACTAAAATGCAATATTTAACAATGCATGTAAAAGGAAGCAAATATTTAGACCTTCTCATTTGCACATAATACTGTGGATAATAAGAAGGTTCTTATCATATGTGGGAACCACTTACAGGCTCACTGTAAACATAAGGAGCATCATCTCTGAGGTCATGTTCACAGAGTAAATATGTTTCTGAAAATATAGGCATGTGGAATTCTCATGGATCCAATGTGCTGTGAGACAGAAGTCCAAATTTTGATAAATGGATTTCATGCCAAATATATTATTCTAAGATGTTAAAAATGAAAAATGATATGCTTGATTTTATACTATAGCATGACAAAACTGCTTCCCCTAACTGCTTCATTTCTTCCCCAAACTGCAAAGTGAAATCTGAATATACAGAGATAAAAGCCAGATTCCTGGTCTGAAGAATTTGCTAAACTGAGTCTAAGAGGCATGACACCAAAAGCTCAAGACCATGAAAGATATTTAGTTAGCCATACTGACTATTATTACTATTCACTCTTTTGATTGTTTGGAAAATTTACAAGTCTTACAGAGGTATGGAACAACATTATATAATTTTTTAGAAACTCCCTTTTCCCATTTTGCTTTTCTACAGTTAATTTATAATTGTATTTTCTTCTTCCCATTTTCTTTTGTTTTGGTGTATTATAAAAACGATAAAAAATGTGAATATTTGTAAGGTTTGCAAGTAGGTTATACCAAAAAGGACCTTTAAGATGATTTTTTTTTTTTTTTGTCTTCAGAGTTACCTTCCTATCGTTGAAAAGTAGTGGTACTCTTTTTTTTTTTTAAATGAAGCAAAAAGACTGTATAATCCTTACTAGGGAAATATTCATAAAGCAGTGTTCAAGATTATTTTAGCATCATGAATCATCTCTTTGTCTGGGGTGTGTATGCACTCATACGTAGAGAAGTATGGGGCAAGTAGCTTAAGTATTAGCAAAAGGGTAAAGCACACTGTGTGTTAGGAATCAGCATTGTATAAAAATGGGAAAAATTCCAGAACAAATAAAAGATGAATTTCATTTAACATTAAGCTGCATATTTTGATATATAAGTAGAACTTCTATTTTTTGATCCCATGTTGAAAAAAGAACATGTAAAAACTTAAGTTCACTTAAAGCAGGAACTTCATGCTGCAATAGATCTCCTTTCTCCAGAAAATCCTTTTAAGAAACATAAACAGCTAAAGATCAAGAACATGATCAAGATCAAGATCGTAGAATATGTAAGTTACTCATGAATTATATTCTTTGAAAATTGCTAGTCTGAGATGCCTTAAACCATTTGTGGTACAAGATGGGGTGTTAATAAGTTCATTAATTCATAGGCTACTTAACTTCATAAAATTAAATCATGTTGGCTCTTTAAGAGTTTAATTTTTTTTCAAAAATCCTCTACTATTCGTTACACATACATAAGACACACACAAACACACACACACACACACTCACACACACACAAACTAGATCATTATTAATTTATACCCTGTTGATTGTTCTTACAGTGAGATAAAAGAAGTAACATAATAGCCTAAGAGTAAAACTTTTCTCTGGGAATATACCTTTTAAAATGAATGGACATTTAATGCCCACCAGAGAATATGCATTTGCAAATGAATCATTAGATTTCTGAAACTTCATAATTGGTATCTACCATAAATAAGTCATACATGAATACTTAGGGCACTATGAATACTAGTGGCACACCAGGATGTAGAAAGGAATAGTGCTCAGTAGAAAAATAGAGAGGAGTTAAGTATTAATCACTGGAGTCTCAATGTCTCATATAAGGAATGGTATAGTCCTATCCATGAAAACATTATTTCCTTTGCTGTAACAATGAAGTGATGAAGAGGATCAGTAGTATTAAAACAGATGAAAAGGGAAATAATGATATACCTAAACAAATACATTTGAAGAAGGAAAATTCCTGTCTGACCCTATATTTTTCAGAGTACAGAAGAACACATCTTCATTTTTCCCCCTACACCCATATAGCAAAACTGTGTTATTCTGTTTTCTGAGTTCACTGCAACCAAAGAGCAAACACAGAATTTAATAAGATGGATTTCCACAAAGTGATGGAATTCAAGGAGTTACCTAGACGCTTATTAAATAATGCAATGCCTAAGTTCCACTTGAACCTACCAAATCAAAATCTCCACAGGAAGATTCCTAAGATAGGCAGGATTTGCAAACATGCAATATGTAGCAAATTATCACTTTCTCTGATTATTTTATGCCATGCTGGTAATTATAGCTACCCCCCTTTATCGGAGTTAGTATAAGAGGGGAATGATTCAGACCTGCTATTATTTTGGAGTGTTTGGTCCAATGTAGAATGGAAAGTTTTAAAGTTTCTGTGTTTTAAGTGTCTGGATCAAGTACTTACTACAGTTCTCAGCTTTTCTGTTATCCCGGATCACTATTCTTTGGTTAATGGTGCTGAAGAGGGTTGTCCAGTTGATGGTGTGATAATAACACAGGTTGCTATTGTCGGTTATATAGATGTTTCCTGCACTAATCTCCTTCAGAGACTGGAACTGTAGAGAGGTAATGCCTTGTTGCTTGAGGATCAGCAAGGAGAGGCCACTAAAGAGGAGAAAGAGAATGGAGCAAGGATAAATATGTTCTGGCCATGAATTGCTCTCTTGAAGTAAAATAAGGATATCACTTCTTACTCCAAAAAGTATATCAATGGATCACAGAGACTGATCAATATGCCTGTGCTCAGAATAAAATTTTCATCTTTACATGCTATATACTGCCAGTTCTAATGTTAATAATTTGTTTCCCAAAAAGAATATGTCCATTTCTTAAAATTATGAATCTTGACAATATCTCTCTATCTTTATATTTACTACTTAAGTATTTTATCTCTGTCTTTCCTCCTCCACCTAGATTTCATACTCCTCAACAATAAAATAATGTAGTAAGACTAAATAATTATTTGTACAATGCTTGCTTATCTACCCAAAGAGATGCTGGTTCTACTATAACTATGTAATATATTTCAGAGGGTAGATATTGCAGAAAATGACTACAGATTTGGGGTTTATTAATTTCTCATAAACCAAAACAATCACCATTAAAGAATGCATAAATAATGTTAGGGCATATTAAAAATTAAAGAGTAGAACAAAAATAAATTTTAAAAAATATTCAGAAGGCTTGAACAGCTGGGGAAAATTTCACTAAAAGTTAAAGAACAACTACTCTGTATAAATACAGCAATTATCATTTCAAAAAACTGTTATTATTTCAACATAGTCCACAGTTTTATAATTATTTTTGCTTTTATTCTCTAAAAAGCATGAGTCCTAGCTAGGCACCAGGGTTTACACCTGTAATCCCAGTAGCTCGGGAGGCCAAGAAAAGAGGATTGTGAGTTCAAAGCCAGACTCAGCAATTTAGCAAGACCCTAAGCAAGTTAAAGAGAACATGTCTTAAACTAAAAAAATAAAAAGGGCCAGTTATGTGGCTCCGTGCTTAAGCACCCCTGGTTTCAATCCCCAGTGCCAAATAATAATAATAATTCCTAAATTTCATTCAACTTACACCATTATTTTTCATTTTGGACAATAAAGTTATTCTTTTCACTAATAATTTTAAATGTAACTTGCTATTAACATTTAGAATTGTTTTTAATAATGAAAACATATGGGGCTAAGTGATAAAAACTGAATCATAATTCACTCTTTAAAATTTTTGTTTTCTTCATACCCAACTTGAATTTTTATTACAAGATCAGCACAAGGCCTTAAGTGATTCATAATATTTTATTCAAGGATAGTAAAAGTTGTTTGTATATGCACTTGAGCACACTGTATCTCTCAACTACCCTTTTACATTAAGCTCCTTTCCCCTTTTAATTTTTAAAAAACTTTTCACAGATATTGTGGATTTTTAAATAATAAAATGCAGTGTACTATATAAAAACATTATTATGAAACAATCCATTATAGTATTGACTTTAGACATTTCACAGATTTAAGCAGACAAATTAAATAACAATATCTTGATGTAAATAAACTTGTATTAATTCATGAATAAAAACTTCATGCAGATAAAATCTGAGATCAACTAAAAAAAGTAGTGGCTTAGAAAAGATTGTCATTTAGTTTTATCATGTGAATTTAAAAGATGAGATAAAATTGTATAATAAAGTCCACCTATTTTAATTTTGCTCTCCATTTATTAACCAGAGCTGCATGTAGAGTGGTGGACAAATCCCAAAACACCAGCCCTATGAGGCATAGTTTAAAAGATAGCACCAGAGACAATCCAGCCTTCTGGTACAACAGCATAGACAGTACCAAGTAACTTCACTATATCATAAGATAATATACAATCAAAAAGAAAGTTAAACTTTGTAGTCCACATTAAGCATCACAGATTTGTAAAATACTAATATTACATTAGATGATGTCATTTGGAAAATCTAATGATGCATTCTGTATACTTCATATCATCATTAGGGTTATTTTTATTGAGCTTATTTTTGAAATTGAAGGCAGAAACATCATATTACCAGAATCAGTAAATCAATAAGACTGACGGTTTTGACTTGATGTACACACGATACTACTCTTAAAATTTGGGCAACTTTCAGCTTAATCCATATATATATTATTAATCCAAATATATATACCTACCTATAGAGTACTCTTCCACCAATGGTCACCAGGTTGGAAAAAACACTGAAGTCAGTCATATTTGGGGGCCATGATTGTATGTTCAAGAAACCTACAAGTGATAGGATGGTAAAAATAAACTAGGATATCATTGTCTTAGTAGTAGTGTTGATTATTAAAATATGATGAAAATGTATTGATAGTTTATGGGAGGTAATAAAATAACTGTCCATTTCTGTTTATGAAAGATTCTACAACGTATTTATTCTTCTAACATTGAGTACCTTAACCCATGAGTATCCCACACACTGGAATAAATTATAAGCAATTAATATCAATACTATGACCCCCCCCAAAATCCATGTATCTCATCCATTTAGGATCATAAAACTGTATATGTTAAGACATAAATGACTCAGTTTGTTTTATTCTTTTAAATGAAAAAAATATACTTAACTAAAAAAATATGGTTTCTACTTCTATGAAATCACTTATCACTTTACCTCTGTACTTGTAACATCAGTATCCACCTTGCATTCTAAGCCATTTATGTATATATTTAACCTGTCTTCTTAAATTTTAAATTATTTTATTCATTTTAATTTTTATTGGTTCTTTTTAGTTACATATGACAGAAGAATCATTTTGATATAATTATACAAGCATGGAATATATCTTATTCTAATTAGGACCCCATTCTTATGGAAGTACACAATGGTGAGATTCACTGTGATGTATTCACTCATATATGTATATAGGAAAATTATGTCAGGTTCATTCCACTGTCTTTCCTTTTCCTATCCCCCCTTCCCTTCATTCCCCTTCGTCTAATCTACTGAACTTTTATTCCCTTTGTCCTCATTATTTTAGCTTAGCTTCCATGTATCTGTGAAAACATTCCACCTTTGTTTTTTGGGGGTTGGCTTATTTCACTTAGCATGATAGTATCTAGAACCATCCACTTACTGGCAAATGTCAGAAAGTCATTTTTCTTAATGGCTGGGCAATGCTCCATTGTGTATATACACATTTTCTCTATCCATGCATCTGCTGATAGGCTGGCTCTATAGCTTAGCCATTGTGAACTGTGCTGCTCTAAACATTGATGGGGCTGCATCAATGTAGTGTGCTTATTTTAAATCCTTTGGATATATACTGAGGGGTGAAATAGCAGGGTCAAATGGTGGTTCCATTGCTAGTATTTTAGTACAACCACTCTGGAAAGAAGTATGAAGATTCCTCAAAAAAATACATTTTAAATTCTGGTGTAAGTCCATGTCTGATTCATATTTATGAGCTGTATAACACTATTATACTAGTATTAAATATTTTAGGTACTCAATAAATATGAGTGGTACATATTCTGATCACGCCTACAATAAGAGTGACTTAAGAGACTGAGGCAGGAAGATCACAAGTTTAAGGCCAGCCTTAGCAATTTTAGCCAGGCCCTAAACAACTTAGTGAGATCTAGTGATGTGGCTCATTGGTTAAGAACCCCTGGTGTAACCCTAGTATCAAACAAAAAAAAAAAAAAGAAAGAAAGAAAAGAAAAGAATGCTACATGTAACCCATGTTTATTAGTATTTCTTTAAGAAAGTATGTAGAAAACCATGGGTTCAAAGATCATAGATCATTTGACACTTGCAAAAGATAATGACAAAATTTCTAGGATATTTATTTTTGTAATTCTATGTACTTTCGAAATAAGTACAAACGCTGAGAAGTAAAAACACCCATTGTTGAAAAATGACACGAATTCAAAAACTGGAATTTTCGATGAAAATGAGTTGCTTATGCTAATATTATGCAATGTTTTTAAGAAAACACCAAAGTCACATAGTTCATAATACAGCAATTGAATTTTGAAAAGTACCTGTTATCTCTCTGACTGTCCGAAAAACATTCAGTTTCTCTGGGTCTATAGCTTCAATTGCATTGTAAGGGTCCCTAGAAAATCAAAGAGATATAGACAAATTTAAACTGTGATAAAAAAGTGAAAATATGAGAAATGTGACAATTGTTATTTGAAATAGGAAGGCAAGGAAAGTGTTGTCTAAATTGTTCTATGCTAGATGTGGAGGGGGGGATTAATAGATGTTTGGGGAGATTTTTCATGACACAAAATATAAGTTCGTTGTCAAAGCCTATTCTAGGTCTATTAGAATGGTTCAGTTCCAACTATAATAAAAACAGCTTCAAAGGTAGTGAGTCCATGAACAAACCATCTTATTTTACTTTTAAAATTTTATTCTTAATCAGGAATAATATAATTTGAAAATAAATAATATCATGGTGAGAACAACTAACTTCTGGGTTCCTTGAAGAAGAAATGAAGGGTTTTTATTTATATACTTTGTTTTTCATTGTGTTGTTTTCTTCTTTTGTTTATATATGGTTAATTTATATTCACTTTCATAACAGAAAATATTGGCTTCCATCTAAATGAATTATATTTTCATTTGGAAAAAGCTTACAACAAACATTATAATACTCAAAATGTATAAATTTTGGAAATTTTAAAAAGATCATTTCCTAATGCATAAACATTAATATAATAAAATTATTGATATACAGAAGTCAGATCTTTTCCAAAATAAACAAAAGTGAGTGACCCTTTAAAATTAAAATATTTAGTGGATTTTTTTTCAGTTTACATCTTAAGAAAATATTCTTTGGGTAAAACATATTGACTGTGTAAAATAATTGCATATTTGAATACTAAGCCAAGCATAAACATAGTGCCAAAAACTTCTCAATAATTATAGTAACATTTTAAGTATCTGAATGGATACATAATATTTTTAAGTTATTATATTAAAGGCTTTCCTGGCTGGGTAGAAACTTCATATTAATATGTACCTTTTACAGAAAGATAATTAAATTCATTGGATAAGTTCCAAAAAAATTAAACCTTAAAATTAAACAAATTAAAAAATTAAACAAATAAGAAATTATTTTAAGTATGTATATACTTGTAGCAATCAAATGTGTATTCTTCTTCCAATGAACATTTTTTTTTACCAGCCTATGAGTAACTTATTTATACTATGGAGAAAAAAAATACTACAATACAGTGACCCATTGGATACAGTCTTAATAGAGTTATCAATCAAGGTACTCCACAGTTTCCTGAAACACAGATAGGTATATGATTTATCTCCTGGGTATTTGAATCTAAATCCATTGACATTTACCCCCCTCAGCATTAGAGCCTTGGAAATGTATTAGTTTCTGCAACTTTCATCTCTAGAACCACCTGGTGCTGGCTTTCTTAACTTGGTTCACCAGTATATTCTTCTATACTATAAACCATTTCACATTTTTTAAAGATACCCTGATTGAGTCAATTACTATTTCAAACTAAGAAGAGCTATTAATGGAATGTACTACTAGATTAACATGGGGTGCTGTAGAAAGTTCAGATACTGGATGCTATCAAGCCTGGAGACCCCTGTAGGTGCCTTTCCCTTTTCACACACAAACCTCTGCTCAGAATTTTATCTGAGCATGTGCCACATGAATATCTCTCAAAAGTTTGAGGTCTAAATTAAATGTTTTTGAAAACTTGCTTTTTTTAAAAAGTAAATACATATGGAATAAATAACTATGATTTTGAAGACTATGAATCCCAAAAATGAAGTGTACCATGTGAGAAAACTCTTGTCCTCTCTTTTTAAAGTGCCAAGACATTTATATGCAGATGAAATATCATCTCTGCTATAGGAGAATTAGCTTTCAACATTTATTCTTTGATGAAGAGACATGTGTAGAACAGCTCTAGTCATATCATCAAATATCCTGGCTCTATTGAGAAAGACTCAAAATTCAGGGCAAGCACACAATAATGGGGTCAGTCCAAATCTTATAGAGAACAGTTCCAGGTTGCCAGGAAGTTAATGAATTCTTTACTGTTAGCATGCAGCCCAATGGACCACAGAAATTTTATATACTTAATTTTAGAGATTCAGGACTCTCATAAAGTAAGCTGACGGAATTCCACTTACAAACTTCAAAGTAGCTCTTGGGATTTTCAGTCTACAGTCACTTGAAATCCATAGTACTTTAAAAATCAAGAATTTCCCTGCCTAAATTCAGAGACATGCAAAAGAACATTATGTCCACCCTGTTACTGTGTTTGGTGATACAAAATAAAGACCAGGATAAGAGAGAGAGAGAGAGAGAGAGAGAGAGAGAGAGAGAGAGAGAGAGAGAGAGAGAGAGAGAGAGAGAGAGAGAGAGAGAGACAGAGAGAGACAGAGAGAGACAGAGAGAGAAGAAGAAGAAGAAGAAGAAGAAGGAGGAGGAGGAGGAGGAGGAGGAGGAGGAGGAGGAGGAAGAAGAAGAGGAGGAGGAGGAGGAGGAGGAGGAGGAGGAGGAGGAGAGAGAGATTTTTATAATTCCACTCAACTCACTTCATTTTATCACCAAACCTATTACCTTTTTTATTTCACTGTGTGCCATTATTGCAGTCTATCACATCAACCTTTTCTTGCTAGGGTCTCACTGTGACATGGAATCCACATGCTAACTTGGTGAACATGTTATTACTCTAAGTATATGTACATGAACTGTCAAAAATGCAAAACAGGGGCTGGGGTTGTGGTTCAGTGGTAGAGTGCTTGCCTAGCATGTGTAAAGCACTGGGTTCGATTCTCAGCACCACATTAAAAAATAAATAAACAAAATGGCAAAACATAAAAGAGAAACTGATAACTATAACCATCACGTTTTGCCTATAGTTTCCATTCTAAATGGAAATGAGTACTTATTTCTCTTTCTGGCAATGGCACTACTTTATTATAAACCGAACATGGCAGTTAACTTTCTTTAGCCCTTTTATGTATTATAAATTTAATTGACAAATTGCCAGTAAATTTATTGTGCAAAGAAACTTCTTTCTGAAAAGCACAGTATCATTTAATTATGATTTTTTACCCTTTACTAAAGAATTATCTCAATTATTTTAATTAAAGATACAATCTTATTAAACACTTGTTAGTAATATATTGAGAATAATAACATTAGTAAGATAAAACATTATTTACTAGAAGTTCTCTTTTTATAATAACCTATATTTTTCTTCTTCTATCTGATTCTCTTTTCCTAAACACACCCCCCCACACACACACACACAGTACATAGACCAACATACCTTTATTTATACATATATAGGTAGCCTGAGGTCTGTTGAAATGTATGGTCATGCTTTACTAAGATGAAAGGGGAAGGTTTTGGAATATATGTCTCATTCTGGCATGAGACTGAGCGTGAAAGATATATCATATTTTACATATACACTTGTACTGGAAAAGGCCAAATACATTACACTTGAGACACAATAATATCAATTATAACTTCAAATATTCCAGAGGTAAGTGCTATTATTAAGGACAAAAAATCGTCTGAAGTAAGATGGGTGATTGAGCTTGAAGGAAGTTTTGTCTTTATTTGGTTTCAAAGACAGTGGACTTTAGTTAAGTCTATAAATAACACTTGTGTGCAATTTTCTATACTATAAACCAGACACAGTCACTGAAGTTTTTCTTTTGCACTGTCTTCTCATCCTTCTTTTTTTTTTAATTCTTTTTCATTTTCTCTCTTTCTTTTCTCCTCTCCCTCTTTTTCTCTGCATCCACCAAACCCTCTTGTTTTTTAAAATATTTATTAAGACTTGACAATATGCCACATATAGAATTGAATAGTTCAAAATTATTTTTGTTTTTAATTGCCATAAAGGTCAGAGGAGATGCCTGTTTATTATCCATCCCATTCTCAGTTTTTCACTGGAGGACCACCCAACTTAGTTCAAACTGTCCATCATGGAGCTGCAAATCGAATTCCACTCTGGTCTGGATCAAGTTACCCAGGTAGAAACTCTACTTTGCATTTTCTGTGGTTATTATTAGTTGTTTTGTTTTGATTACCTTTCGACTTCTAATCCAAACTATTTGATGTTTGAATAAAGGGATTGTTTATTACCTAAATGAATTAGCAAAATTGTTCTCCTAAAAAGTCTGGTTTAATCAAAGTTTTGTAATATTCTTCTCAGGTACATGCAAATGCATTGTTCTTACTGAGATCATCTTGTGTGTTTGTTTTGAATTTACTTATTGAAGTTTTTCCCCACCCTAGATCATGGGTGAATGAGAATATGTAAAATCGTTTTGTAACTATTATAAATCCAGAGTTTGAAAAAATATATTGTATGATGAACCAAGATTAAATTATTCTGAACCTCACTGTATGAAATCTTGTCCAAGCCTTCCCATCTATGTGAATTTTCACCATTAGAAGGTCAGTTTTCATAATCCTGCTAGTGTCATTAAACTTTTTCAGTGGTTATCAATAGAGGTAGTTCCACTCCACTAAAGGGAAGTCAGGGCATTTGTGGAGTGTTTTGATTCTAATGGTAATTGGGGGATGATTGAGACTTTTAGTAATAATCTGGGGCCAAGGTAGTTAAAAGCCTCTTAAAGTGAAGAATTGCGTCTCCTCTGGTACAACCTTAAAACATCCTCCCTGACATTTAGAACCTAATATCTGCAAACTTCTTGAATAATACTACTTTGTATGTAATTCCCTATGCAAGTATCTCTAATTTCAGTGAAACTTATTTCCCTCTTCCTTTGGTTACATCATGTTCTGGTTATTTATGTTCTATTCTAGGGGTCAGCAATTCCTCTGTTGCTCCATGCCCCCACCCCCACATTTCTTATACAAAATGAATTCTAATCTCACTTCTCATAAATTCAAATTTTCATTATAAGTGGAAGCTGAGCATTTTCCTATCAATGCCTATTTTTATTATAAGTGACTTTTATTTCTTTAAATTATAACTGGTGAATTATAATGATTTTCTAAAAATTATGTATGCAATAGGCTCTATTCTCCATAGGTTTTCAGTATTGAGAAGAAGCATCAAACGTTTAATATATAAAAGAGAAAAGTTGAGCTCTATAGGGATGAAAACCACTTGTCTAATACAATTCATGAGAATATGACTTCAAATCGTTCCCCACACTGATGGACCTGAAGCTATTTCATTTATTATTTCCACATAGAAGCAGGTATTGTGCATTAAGTAAATCTCTCTTATTTCTCTGCTTCTCATAGGAACTAATTAATATTTGATCTTTCATTCATGGTAATATTTGATTTTAAAAATAATCAAATACAAATATGTTGCTTTATTAATTTTCATATATTTTTTAAATTATAAAGATTTTTTAAATTATAAAGATTTTTAAAATTATAAACATTAACCCAGGTCTCCTACACAGGGAGCCAAAGAGGCTAAGACAACAATGCAGAAGGCCAGTGGAGAATATGGTAAAGTCAAGGGACAGGCCTCATTTCCAGTGCTAGGGCTGTCCATCTCCAACAGACTGCAGCCATGTAACAATATGAACTTGCACTAAACAAGTCTACATTTTTTTAAAGAGAAGTTCAAACTTTTATTTAAAAAATAACATTTCTTAGACCAAATACAACAAATCAGGAAGAAATTACATATATACTATTACAGTATCTGAGAGGAAACAATATTAAAATTTATATTTTAAAGTAAAGAGTTATTTTGTGCAATAAGACAAACAATAACGTGTTTAAATGGAAAGAAATAGTTTGTTTTATTGTTCTTGATATTCCTATTTGGACATGTTTATTTTTAATGTTTTAGATGTTTGTGCTTCTAGAAATTATGTGCAAAAATATGTTCAGAATAAGATTTTGAATTGAAATATGTATGTGATAGTCTTTATCTGTTGCCTGTAGTGCTAATATTTAGGGATTAAGTAGTAATATAGACAAAAAGTTAAAATATAAAATAAAAATATTGACATTTTTATTACAATTCAGAGGATACAAATTTGGTTGTTTTCCCAGTTAAAACCAGCAGGTGGTTCTGAAATGAAGGCATGCAGATAATGTTCCAATTTGTATTACCAAAATGAAATTTGTTTAATAGATCTCTTACAGTCATAGTAATTTCCCAGTTCAAGAAAATATAAAAAGATTTCATAAAGGCAAAGAAAATTTCTGAAAGAGTTTCAGGAGAATTCCAACTTTGTTTTATGCCAGGTTATCTGATTTGATTTAACATGGAAATTTTTAAAGGATTATTAATTTACATTATCTTGACCTAATCAGTTAGAAATTCGAGTGAAGTTCGCCACTTTATCAATTAATATTATTTTCTTAAAAGCAACTAAAAATAACTCAAACTTGATGCAAACTACAAATTTTAGGAGAATTCCATGCCAATAAATTTTAACTTAAATACAAATTTATATTTTCCCATCTAATTAAAACTGGAGCTGCATCCCAAAACTCTGGTTTACTATCACTGCTTTTGAACTGGCCTTGGCTTTTATTGGCAAAGAGCATTAACAGAAGGTAAAACTGTTCTAGGTTAAAAAGAATCCAACAAAGTTAAGGAATCTCTTCTGTTTTGTCTACATTTTGTAAAATAGTTTTGAATAAAATTGAATACTGACCCATGAATACCAGTGACAAGGAAGATCAAATTCCCATTGATCTTTGTACAGTTTATGAATTTGTCAATGTTACTGGAATCCACAGTCTGAGCTGACATCAGTGATCCCGTGCCAATGCCATCACAAGCTGTAGAAACAAGACTCACAGTCAGCGGGCTGAAAAACTGATTTTTGGTCAATAAATTATTGCACTCTCATGATAAAGGAAACAGCATTTTATTGAAACATTAAAAAGTTAATTTTTTTCTGGAAAATAAAATAATTCATTCATCATTTACTCTTGTCCCTACTTAAAATATTGTCCTAAATAAAAAAAATAAATAAAGATTGTCCTTGCATGAGTCTTTGTAAGAACAGTATTTTATACTAAAACCTGACATTCATACACCACATAAAAAAGAAAAGCCTTCATTAATCATTGCTTTTTCTTACTAGATTAAATTTACTTATTTTCTAACCCAATCTAAAACATTACTTTAAATACTTTAAACTGCTGGTCACTTTAACAAAATATTTTCCTGGCTTACTAATATTCTACAACATGTAATTTGAAAAACACTGGACTAATGAAGAATATACATCAAGTAAAGAATACGAATGATATGAGTTGTTACCATATCAATTTGGGTCAAGGGATATTTATTTAAATACTTGGACTTAAGGTTACCTCTGCTTTCTGAAGGCTTTATTTAAAATAAAAGTGTGTGTGTGTGTGTGTGTGTGTGTGTGTGTAGAAAAAGGGGAAGGGAAGGAAAGAGAGGGAGAGAGGAGACAAGGCAGTCTAAAATGTGAAGTTTGGCATTTTCTAAGGAACTCCTTGATCTTTGAGAAGCTTAATAATGTTTGAAAGATGTGAGCTATACTTTGGTCCTGCTTAATTTAAGCTTCATTCTGGTGAGGAATTTGATCACTCACAGCTAGAAGGGATTTCTTCCTTCACTAAAATCCTACAGCATGAATTATCTGCAACATTTATTTAATGCTTGTAGTAAACCTCATTGTCATTTTGCACATCTTTTAAAAATTATTTTAAGATCTGGAGAGTAAGTTTCATGTGGTCTATCCCTTTGCATTCCTGTTTATGCATAGCAGATAATTTTGTGTAGAGTGGCATTTGAGCTATGATACTAAAATAAGCATGCAAATCCTTGTTGAGTATCAAACATCTAATATTTGTTACCAACCAAATGGAACTTTATTTCTGAGCTCCTATGAAAGTTAACTCTTGAGTTTTATCTGGACCATTTTAGTTGACATAATTCAAAACCAGTAATACGCACTGTTAGTTGATACTTTGGGGAACTGTCCAAAGTCATGGGAAGTATAGGGGAACAGGAAGGTTTCATTGTGGTAGTGAGTTTATTCTGAGGCTAACTTCATTGGCCTATTGAAAAGTAAATGAAAGACCCTGGTATAAGGTCTCCATATAAGCCTTGGTATAAGACCGTGTTCTAACCGAAGTATTCTAAGCTATCACTTACCTTTTGGGCAAATATCAGTGCAAGGTTTACACATTTTAATCCCATTTTCTTCTACTTCCATCTTGGAACTAGGGCAGGCACGCACACAAGAACTAGAATCAACCACAAAGTTATCTGATACAAAAAAAAGGTAAAAAAATAAAAGTTAAAATAATGTTAATGTGTAGTCATCACAATTATGTATTTATTTTTATTTTTTATTTCTTCAGCTGAACTACCCAGGTGTGCTTTACCACTGAGTTACATCCTCAGCCCCTTTTATTTTGAGACAGTATATCTCTAAGTTGCTGAGGACCTCATTAAATTGCTATGGCTGGCTTCAAACCTAGGACCTCCTGCCTAGGTCTCCCAATTTACTTGGATTACAGGTCTTGACACTATGCCTGGCTCAGCTATCAAGTTTAAATAAAACATTGTAGGGTTTGACAGTTTATATGTCTCTTCCCTTAAAACAGTTTTTTTTTTTTAATATCTCAACTTGAAATAGTATCTTAACCATCCACACTGAAATTTTAGGCATTGTGTTAGCAGAACCTTGCACTTGCTTTTCTATGGCTCTATATCCCGAACTGCCCCCAAGATATAGTGGATTTTCTTTATACACTTAGGAAACTACATGACATTTAGTTTGTGTTTCTCAATAGTTCCACTTCATTTCAGGTCATGATGCAAGTTGGAAGTCTAAAAATACTTCAAGTTCATGAAGCACAAATGAAGCTTAAGTTAAATTGCTTTGGATCAAGAGAGTGCACTTCATAACCAGGAGAAAATGTTTAAAATATGTTCTATGTTTCAATGGAGTGCCATAGAACATTCCCATATATACTTTATTTTTTAAAAAGAAACAAAAGGAAATTTCAAAGGGTATAGACATGGAACATTTTATTACCTAAACTTAGTGAAATATTTAGGAGGCTGGGTGATCTTTGATACACCAGAACATCCTCTACAAAATAAGGGAAAAATAACTGTCTTTGGACTATCCCACCATAAAGGGAAAACACAGTGCCTGTAAGATCATTCTGGTTTGAAAGGCAGAATCATCCTATGCTTGGGAATAGTGCTCTAGCCCACTATGCAATAATGTGGAAGCCTTCCAGACTGGAGGGGAGCCCAGAGCAGGAAAGGCACATGGTACAGGCAATTTTGTTACTTGGGACATAAAACCCAATAGGTTGTATAATATAGGCAGTGATATAGTGGGAATACATGGCACGTGAAGTTATGATAAGTAGCAACTGGAAAAACTTAGCAGATAGGTTTCTGGAGCTAAGTCATGCCATTAGTAGCATTTAACAAAGAGTTCCTGGCATGTTTCCGAATCCTGGTAGAGTCAAAATACCTCATCATGGGTCAGTGGTTACACTCGTGGCTGGAACTACCCATGGTGAAAAAAGTTTTGTTGGAGTCATGATTTCATCACATTAAGAGCCAACAACACTGTAAAACTGAAGCAGTGCATCTGGGATTGGGTATGTGCAAAGGAGAGACACAAGTGACCTGCATTAGCTGGTGATTCAGACCCCATGTCACCCACCCCTTCGCTTGTACACCACACTCAGCTCATGCCTTTGCTACATGGAGATGAGAGGTGGCACTTAGGAAAAGCTGACCAAAAAAAAAAAAAAAAAAAACACAAAAAGTTAAACTTGATCCACGGGTGCAAACTGAAAGTGGACAGTGGCTTCCCTGAAGCCTCACTTAGGAATGGAGTTGAGAGGCAGAAGAAGGACGAAACCCTTCAGAGGGCACAGTTCTGGGTAGGACAATTCATCACTCATTTTGTATGGAGAAAGAAGAGGCTTCTTATATGGACTCATAAGCAGTGGCTTGCCCTGGAAGGAGAAATACTGGAAAATCTGATAATGAAGCAAATCTGGGGTACTCATGGGAGTAGGCACAAAGCATGGAGATCTCTTTATTCCAGTTGTCTACCACAGAGCATTGACCTCCAAAGAGTTCCTTTGTTGAGAGGGTATCAAAGCCCATTTCTGCTTCCTTCCTTTCCCCTACAGGTAAAGATTCTGAGACTATTTCCTAATAACCTAATCTCTTTGCCAGGAGACCCCAACCTGCACCAGGTTCATCTACTATGTATTAAGTAAGTATTCTTTCTGTGAGGTCTTGGATAGTATCATATAATTAAATGCTTTCATATTTATGCAGCAATTTATGCCAAGTAGAATGAATAAAGATTATAATTGGCCTTATGCCAATGAGGTTCAGGTTTTGAAGCCAAATTTGTTTCAAAAAGGTATGTTATTTGGAGATGCTAAATTTCAGAACTCTGGATTAGGAATTGTAGACCTGTATTTAGAAGCTAAATGTCCTTGTTTTCCCAAGACACTTCAAGCTTGGCAAACCAAGAATCACAAAGAATGCTCATCTAAAATTTAAATTTCACAGTGGACGTGTACTGAAGTGTTTAAATTAGCCTGTAGTTTCACAGACGTAAACTAATCAAAGACAATAAGCTTTAAGCGAGTTACTACATCTGTATTCTGTAGATCATAAAGCTTTCCTTTAAAAAAGTATGTGAAGAAATGTAACTTTTTTTTTTTTTGGCCTTTCCAGTAGATGAAACATGAAACATGGAGAAAAGTCCCACTGGTCACTCAAAGAAATTGACTCTAGGAAATGTCAGCACATATGTTATATTGAATACCTGGAGAGCAATGCTGGTCATTTTGAATACCCAGGATAAGTAAACAGTTTGCCAAAGCTCCCTAAATGTATTCTTTATACCTATTATTTTTTGTTTAAAATTAGATTTTATATGAAAATTATAATAATATATATCTTAGTGTAAACAAATTATATGAATGAATTTAGGTAGAAATCCATTCTACTAGAAGCAGGCCCTATTTATTACATAGCTTGCTTCCACTCTATTAATCAATTTAATTAACTTTTCCAAGAAACAGCATAATGTGCAAGAAAACTCAGGTGTATTGAAAATAACAAATTCAGGAGTCAATAACTCATTGCTCTAACCTCAAACATTCTAATCCTTCACTATGAAGTTTAGAACACTTAAATATCTTGAGCTTTAATTTCCTTGTTTATGAAATGAGAGTGAGAGTACCCATACCCAAAGTAATCCATGACTATTCAAACTTCAAATTAAAATGGATTTATAAGAAATGTTTTCTCATGTCCAAATAATGCTCTAATTAATTGGAGTATTTTTATTGTATCACTTACGTGGGCACTTCTTGACACAGAATGCTCCATAAGTGTACTTTGCATTGAAGTTGTGTTCCAATTGAAAAGTGGTTGGATTGTAGACAAAGGTTTGGGGACACTGAGTCACACATGCCCCACTGTCATTGAAGTTCATGCAGGCCTGCAACAGCAAATATAACTTTCATTTACAAATTTACTTTCATATTATTTGTAATGAAATACATACTAATGAAACACTGTGGTGATACTTTTATGAAAGTTGTGTTCATTACCTAGTATACATCAATTGTATAGATACTGCAAATTTTGATACTTTTAAACTCATTTATGCTTCTGAGTTTCCATAAATTTTTGTTCAAATGTCAGTGATATACCATGTATGGTTTCTAATATTCAAATTGCTTAGTATTTAGCCACTGATTTTGAAACTAAGAAATGGTTTAGATTATTAAAATTAGCTGACAGTGAGGAATTATTGAAGTTCAGACTGATTAAAATCATTTATATTAAGTTTTAAGGTCAATTGAATCTCCAATTCTATGTTTGTTTGTTTGTTTTGTTTGTGTGTGTGTGTGTGTGTGTGTGTGTGTGTGTGTTTGAGCTTTCATATAGACTTCAGTGCTTTAAGTGGAATGTTAAACATAAACATCACCATTGAATAGTGAGGAAATGTGATGGATGTTTAAAGTGGACTTAAGGAAAAGGTCTGGCAGGTGACTAGCCACAGGTAAATTTAAGGTATATAATTAATCTGTAAATAAATAAGGTGAGGCCATTTCTTGTATGGCATTTTTCAAAATGCCACACAATTTAGTAAAGCCACCCCTTCAAATAAGACAGTTCCTCTCTGCTGACACAGATTTGTCTTGAGAACTCAATTCATTAGTACTTTCAAGCTCATTTGAGAAGAACTAAGAATCATTTTACCACCTGAGAATTAGGTATTTGGTAGCAAATAAAAACATATGTATAAGTACACATAAGCATGTGATTAACAAAAGTATGGATGAGCTAATTCTCTTAATTAAGAAATTAAGCTTTCATAGGCATAATTCAAGACTTGGAAGGCAAGCTAATGTGAACTCAAGTTCTGTTTTACATTTCATCATAAATTGTCATATGGTTATTAATAAGCATTAATTTATTCTGTTTCCTCAAAACATTTGCTTCATCAATTGTTGTTTTAGTGAGCACTTTATCACAAACATGACAATTCTCTGATGAAGGTCTACTAGATGCATAATCAGAATGAGACTCAGTGATGAAACATTATTCACTGAGATGACACTTTCTAGGAAGAATCTATTAAAAACCAATCTAGAAAACTCAGTAAGTTTTAATTTATGGTTATGAAACTTCATGTGTCCTTATAATTGCTTTACTAACATATTTTATGCAATCTTATGCATAGATTGCTTGGCAACAAAGAACATAAGCCAGAGAAATAAAAAAAAAAAAAATTACCTTTCAGACAACAAACAAGAATATTGTAACTTATACCAGGGCCTCAGTCTGGTATTCATGAGCATTCTGTAACAAATGCCAGAATGTAATTACTGGGCCATTCCAAAAAAGTAATGAAATGAGGATTTTGAACGTCACTTGATCTGCTTGTCATGATAATGAAACAATAAAAAAAAAAAGAGGTGATTTCAAACTTCTGAGAGTTTTTATTATTGTTTATTATAGTTATTGTTTTGTAATTATTAAAGCAACACTTTCAGGGTTCAGTGTCTTCAAAGATCAATCTTCCAAGCTCATCTGTCTGTATTGGTGATGGACAAGAAAAAGTTCTCAGTTTAGGAACTGCTGAGCTTCTACCTCAGATGTTTAGCATTTTTTTTTTTAAAGAAAGAGTGAGAGAGAGTGAGAAAGAGGGAGAGAGAGAGAGAGAATTTTAATATTTATTTTTTAGTATTTGGCGGACACAACATCTTTGTCTGTATGTGGTGCTGAGGATGGAACCTGGGCCGCACGCATGCCAGGTGAGCGCGCTACCGCTTGAGCCACATCCCCAGCCCCAGATTTTTAGCATTTTGATTTCCTTTTTATCTGCCTCCCTCTATATTTCTGCAATAAATATTTTTTTATTTCACTATACAATTAGAATAGATAAGTTCAATTTCTTATAATAGTTTTTAAAAACTAAGAAATTACTATGTATACGATTTTTAATTTTATTTTGCTTATTGAAATTAAGCATCAACTTTTCTAAATGCTCAATTCTAGAATATATGTTCGTGTGTTAGATATTTAAGAAGCAGAATAAAGAAAACAGTTTTTTTGCATTCACTTTCAACAGTAAATGTGATTTGCTATTTTTACAACTTTTAGCTTAAAAACAATACCCTAGAATACTAGGGTTCTGGTGTATAAAATTGAGTTAAATAATGCTCTCAGAACTGCTCATATGTATTCCAAAGAACAAAAAGTACTATATCAAGGATATGATATCAAAATGTAATTAAAGTGTCCCTAACAAGTTGCAAATGCAGCTAAAATATAAAACATAAAATTAGCATATTGGTTGTTTTAATGTGCATTTGTAAATCTTAAATTTTGAATAACATAAACCTGTAAAGAATAGGAACAGGAAAAATACTTAAACACATAAACTTATCTGTTATAATCATGAAATTTATAGTAAAAATACAAAATGCAATTGCCCTCCCTGATGGTACTTAAATATGCAATGATATGGACAAGCAACCTCTGCATTTTTGGAAAGGATATTATTAGATGCTAAGAAAGATACCTCAACATATTCTCCAATAAACCTCACTTTTAACATAAATTGTGTCCAAAGTGCAGAAATAATTCAGTGGAACAGAATAATTCCAGTTAATCAATAGCCAACTCAGTAAGAACATGATTTCTAGGAAGAGGCCCTTAAGGATCTTGCTTAATCTTAAAATGGCAAAACTTGATGTTAAATAATCACATGGGAGAAATTCAATATGGCTGAGACAAAGAAAGAGCAAAGGAGAGGAAAAGAGGAATAGGGAGAACTCCCAGACGTACAAAGCAGTCCGTATCCTTAGGTCCTGCGCAGCCTCCAGCACATTCTCTATGGCAGCAGTCACTGACATAAGGTCCATAGCACCTGCCATCACATTGTTCTGCACACACCGTCCTTGTCACTGCAGAAGACAGAAATGGGGTCTCTATCAGAATCAGCCACCAACGAAAACTCCTAAAATTATGTGAAACGACTGAGAAAAGCTAAGTTCTGAAGTAATAATTTACTAAACCCAACCCTGACTCAATTCGGCAAACATTTAATGAGCAAAGTTGGCATTTAGATCAAAATTACTAAAAACAAACAAACAACATAGAACCTCCAAAATTATATGTGCATTTATTTTTATGTTCTTTCTTGTTTCAGAGAATATTTATAGTGCCGTATAAAAATCATTCAGGTTGGGAAAGATGGAGTCAGCAATGAGATTACTTCACACAATGTATATGGTAAGGTCCTGTGGGAAAAGGTGGTCCCAAAAGTGAATTTAAGACTTTTAATAGTTAATGAGGAAAAGGAAACAAATATTTTCTTTATTCACAATATATTTTACATGAGGAAAACCAAAGAAGGAAGGTAAGAAGAAGGAAGAGGTGGTGAGAGGAAGGGAACACTTATAACTTTCACTGGTCTTTTCTCATCCTTCTGTCCAAGCTGACAGCATCATATTATAGTATACTTTCATATAAGAAAGGCTATGGACAGTGAGTCAAAATTATAGTAACAAGGGACACAATTATTTTTAGCTCAGTTATTCCACTGAAATTTTAAAGTATTTTTCAAGTATGAATTTTACAGGATATGGGTAGCATATCATTTCCATATTTCCGGTTTTGCCTTATTTCTTTCAACTTTTGTGACTAGTTTTTCTAAGCTTCTTTCACTGCTACTTTACAAAGACTCTGCCTCTTAAACATTAGTATTCCGCAGATTTGGTTTTGACAATTTTCTGTGGGCTACAGGCTCATTCCTGGCGAAAATTATTCAACCCAAGTTGTATGACTTCAAGATCCAAAATGGATTCTCTGTGGAGATACTTCTTATCATAAGTTCATAGGAGATTTTGAAAATAAATATTTGGATCTAGATTTGTGAGTTTGTATTTTGTATTTACATTAAATTTTGAAATAAATGATTTCTTCTATAAATATTCTAGCATACAATTCTACATAATAAAATAGCTTGGCCTATTCATTCACCTTTTAAAAAGTCTCAACTTCTCAGTGAAATCTACTCCTATTTAATGCAGAAGCTTCCCCAAACAACTGTGTCCTGGAGACTTTCCTCTCTTTCTACTTCTTCTCTTGTCCAGTCTTAGTCATGTTTTTTTTTTCTTTTTCCTTCCTTCCTTCTTTCCTTCCTTCTTCCTTTCTCACTTCCTTCAATACTTTTTGTTACCGCATCCATCGACATCTAACATGTGTTCCAAATTATTTATTACATTAATTTTATGGTGTATTCCAAAAAAATAGAATTATACCTGGCATTCATGTAATTTTATTTATATTTTATACATACATTATATATGTGTGTGTATACAATTTATAAATACACAAATTACATGTATGCATTAACTATTCATAGTCATATATTGTACTTACATTGCTGTCTTTTAACCAAGTGGTATATTTATATAGGTGTACTAATTATTAATACATACTATATAAAGCAAATGCTTTGCATAGTTTTTTAAAGAGTACATTAAAACATAATATTTTCTCTTCCAGATGAAATAAAGTCCTTTTGATGTATCAAGAATCACTAAAATAGAAGATATGTGATAAATAAACAAATTAGACATTTGAAATAAGTCTCATCATAGGACAGTCTATTAATTTGATTATAGTTGTCCAGGCATTAATCAGCTGGAAAACAATAGCATGGAATTGAATCAACAATCATATCCCATAAGTCACATACATTTTAATTTTAGATGCATATATCTAAGTGTTGATTTCTATTTTTAACTCTATCACCCTTTAAAGTAGTACACAAAATGTTTCAATTTCCCTTCATTTGTTTACTCTGAACTTCTCTGACATAATAGGAAAGTAATATAGAAAACATTTAAATAAATAAGATAATTAATTTAAATTTTATTTTTAAATTATTTTAAATTATTGATTAAATGTTCATATTAAAATCATTTTTGTCATGGGACATTATTTAAACATGGAAATTGGATGTTATGATTATAATAGCACAATCTTAGACTCAGTAACTGGTATTGTACTTTATACCCCCTAAAAGTTGTATTTTCAAAGATTTAATCATATGTAATGTTAGATATTTTGAAATAGCATTTTCAGCCATATGGTACTCAAATATTTCATTCATATCTAGGAAATCTTGATATGCACATTCCATTCCACTTCAGCAACATACAAAAATCATCTAAGTCATTATCCAAAGGCAAATATATTTTTAAATTTATTTTAAGATATTAAAAGGAAATTGTGGGATTTTTCTCAAAAACAGTCTATAATTGAGTTTTTAAACATTAGATTGTATTCAGTATTAAAAATAATACTCTTTAATTCCAAATAAAAATGTTCAAAAAACACATTTGGAAGTATTGATGAATAAGTAAGCAAAAGAACAAAATGATAAACTTAATTTATAAATAGTGATGAGACAAAGTTTGAAAACATCTTTTTACATTGTTTTATGAGACTTATTTTAGAAATAAAACATTCTCCTTGCACACATCCAACTTGTGAGCAGGGCAAAGGGCATGGCATTGTAAAGTAAATCCATTTACCAGAACTTGGTGATTAATAAACATCATTCATTTAATACAGAAAAACTCATCAATCTGTACTCAAAGTTTTTGATGAGAGAGACAAAAAACAAAATACAGCTTCTGAAATCAATGAGATTACTCAGCCTCCATAGGAACATTAACATATAATTGCTTTAGCTTTTATTAATTTCCATCCTTGCTGGGATATTTCAATGGAAATGTTTTCCCTGTGTTTGGTATGCTTTCTAAATTGCTTCACTGGGTGCATTAAAATATTTGGGTCAAGTTTTAACTAGCTTATTCATTGCTGGTATACTGCTATGCAGTTAATATAAAAAGTAAAACCTGAGAAGTTAAACTTATATTTGGGTCAATAAACTTGAAATTGGCAATGGGAATTCATTCAAAATATCCATGACAATCATATGGCAAATTTAAAGAACCAAGTATTCCATGGTAAAGCAATATTGCTGACAGACTATCACCTCTAAAAAACTATAGTATTTGTTAGTAGCATTATCTTACCAGTACCACACTAATGAAAACAAAAGTTTAATTACTTCCCTGAACACAATGATATCCAATGTTTTTATTAAAGTTGCTCCTTTAGAAAAATATTTTTCTTATATGAAGAGTATCAATTTGCAAATGAAATATTTGTTGTTGATTTCTTTAATTTTTTTGTTTTAATTAGTTATATATGACATTAGAATACATTTATGCACTTTGATATATCCTACATAGATGGGATATAATTATTTATTTTTCTGAGTGTACATGTTGCAGAATCATATTGGTCATGTAGTCACCTATATATACATACAGTGATAATGTCTGTTCCATTCTACTATCTTTCTATTACCATATCCCTTCCCCTCCCATCATTTCCCTCTATTTTTATGAGTAGCCAAAAGGACATTACAATGAAAAGCTGAAAGGTCTATTTGCTCATTAACAGGGAGAGCCTTTATAAATGTTTGCTCCCCATATTTTTGAACTTGACTACTTTCCTCCTTCTTTCCTGTCTCCTTCCTCCTTCCTTTCTTTCCTTCATTGCCTTAAAATAGTTTTAACTAGTACACTGTAGTTACATGTAAGCTTGAGATTCATTGTGGTGTACTCACATATGGAAAGAGAGTAATTTGGTCAATTTTGTTGTTCAGTTCTTTCCCCTGCCTGCTCCTCTTCCCTCCATCTGCATCATACCCTTCCTGTATTCTACTGGTCTCCCTTCTGTTTTCATGAGATCCCCTTTACATTCCTGATTTTTTTCTCTCTAGATTCCATATATGAGGTCAAATACTCAACCTTTGGCTTTCTGAGTCTGGCTTTGGATTGGCTTCACTTCATCCACTCTGTTCTTCTAAACTGATTTGTATATTATATCATGTCATGGGATCTTTCAAACTTGAATATAAAAATTCTTATATAAATTAAAAAATGAATTCAATTAGCATCAGTGAGGCCCATAATTATCTATTTGTCATAAGCTCCTAAGGAATGTCACTGCTTGCTGTTCCACAAGCTCCATTTTAGTAGTATTTTATTATTTTCCAAATACACTGACTGAGAATCACTTAATTCCTAATAAATGAAATTAACCAGCAATGTACTAAGAGTTTTTTACAGTTTTAATAAGTTGCATAGGTGAGTCCAATGCACAATCTGGAGTCCAGAAACATTATTCTGTCCAGTCAAATTGAGAAAAATCTCTAAGTCATTTATACCATTTGATTGACAGACTAATTATTCATTGTCTAATTATTCATTAATCATATGACCTCTTGCTTTCATTTCCTATTTGTGTTCTTAAGTGCTCTATCACTAACAGGAAATCAAACAAAAATTGATAAGCAAAGAGATAATAAAATTTGGAGGGAAAATGACCTAGATTTGGGACAGAAACATGGCATGGCTTGTTCTGAAGGTAGAAGTGTCAGAAAAATGGAACATACCATTATTAGCATCTCAGGCAGCAGCTGTATGCACATTAAGTATCATGAGGCAACACCTAATTTCATTGCAAAACATTTTAAAGCACACTTATTTCATTTTTCTTTCATTTTTATCACAGTACTAATAACTTATATCTATGGTGCCTATATTATTTAAATTTTTATGGACAAAATTTTTAAAAACCATGCCCAGAAAACACAGTATATTAATTAGTATTTCAACTTTAAAACACAATATATTAATTACTATTTCAACTTTAAAATGGAGTGTTTTTGAGGTTATAGTATTTTCAGTTACATACCTGGAAGTTTGAATAAAAAGAAAAATGCTTGGGTTAAACAAAGGAGATTTGGGTTGGATGTGAAGAAGAATTTATCGACTATTAGAGTGATAAAAACACTGTAATGAGCTACTGAATGGGT